AATGAGTGAGTGGATGAATGAGTGAGTGACTGGATGAATGAGTGAGTGGATGAATGAGTGAGAGACTGGGTGAATGAGTGAGTGGATGAATGAGTGAGAGACTGGATGAATGAGAGACTGGGTGAATGAGTGACTGGATGAATGAGTGAGTGAGTGACTGGATGAATGAATGAGTGAGTGTCTGAATGAATGAGTGAGAGACTGTGGGTGAATGAGTGAGCACATCCTTTCTTTGCCTGTGCTTTCCCTCAGCTCCTCCCCTCTCCCCTGCCAGCCCTTGTCTGACAGGCTCAGGTTTTGACATGGCAGGAAATTAATTCTGAAAGCGAGTCTGTCACATTTACAAATGGAGATAGCGCTCAGATGTGGTTAATGCAGCTGCTCTTGAGAGAAGAAACTCAGAGATCCGCCTGCTCGCCCCTCCCTGCTCAGCCCAGCCTGTGCTGCGGCCGTGTTCCGGGCCCCGGGGGCCCAGTGCGCCTGGGGGAGCAGGCCCTCTCTGGCCTGAACTGGGATGGGTTCTGCCTCCTGGCCCCAGAGCTTGGGGGAAGTAAAGCGGGATCACTGCGGGGTTCCCTGGGACCTCACTCTTGGGGCCACTGGGATGACTTTGGAGATGGACCCCTGAGGCGGCCTTGGTGCTGGGGAAGCTCTGACCCTGTGACAGGAAACCGCCTGAGACTAGCATGTGCCTGCCCCCAGATTCAGAATGCCTGACCAGCCCTGGACCTGCCCCTCTTCCCACAGACCCATCCCTGCCCCCTGCCCCCCGCCCCCCGCCAAGGGTGTGGCAAGAGGGGTCTCCAGCTGGCGCGAGGACTGGATAACCTGAGGGGGGAGAGGCGACTGCCTGGCTCGCCCCTCCCGTCCACGTGGTTTCCTCTTACAGAGGGGCCCAGCTGGCAGAGACCCCCGCAGGTCCCCAGTGGGCTGGGCTCTAGGTGCTTCACCTCCCTCAAGGTCAGGTGGTGTCCGGGCCCACTTGTGAGGTGCTGGCTTTCTCCAGCTCCCAATTCTTTGTGTGCATGAGGGGGTCGCCTTGCGGGGGTCCGCAGGGAGCTGTCGGCCTCCGGGCTGCTCGGTACAGCGTGGAAAGGCTCCATCTCACGGGCAGCCCCGAGGGACTGAGCTTCTAGGGCCCCTGGACGGGGCTTTTCAGCAGCCATGCCCAGGGCGGCCTCCGGCCTGAGAGGCTTAAATCCGAGTGTCCCGCCTCCTGGGCCTTCCGGGGCCTC